AGATTTTATTTCCATCTAAGCAATTAACATTTTTTTACATTTATTTAAAGGACTCAATCCTATCTTTCAATTCATTAAACTGTTCCTTATATTTGCCAAGTTTTATATCAAGTCAAAACACTATCTGAATGAATAAGAATTACAGTAAAAGTAATTTAGAAATAAATTACTGGAAGTTCAAGTCACTGTAGCTTTTGATGATGGAATGTTGCACCCATAAGACAACTGATTTCTTTAGAAGTCTAATGTCTAGGCCAGTCCAAACTAGATTAACAATGCATCTCATGTTGGTGTGTTTTCTCCTTCAGGCTTGGGGTTCATAATGGGGTCCAGGAAGGATGAGCACAGTTTGTCATTTTTGGAAACATCTAGTGACTATTTGAATATGACTATCTGAATAGTTTTTTTTGAATCAAAGGCCTCCTAATCTAAATGTTGTTTGAAAAGCTTCTCTCTGACCTCTTTGATCTCTAACATAAGAAAATCAGAGCTATCATATTCGGTCAGAATAAAAGGTCTATCTAACACAATAGCCTGTCTCCATCACTGGCCCCTATCAGAGCTATAATGGACCGGGAGAGTGTTGACCAGTACAAAAGGGGTTGGCAGTGAGCCAGAAAACTAATGGGCATTGGAGTTAACATTTGAATTGTATAAGATTCTTTGCCTGCTTTCTTTGTGGGGAGATTTAAACACACAAAATGATTTAAACCCAGGCAGGACTATCATCACTTCCAGGAATTTCGGGGCATGGAAGTGGACTGAACAAAGATAAGACTGGAAGTAAAGGGGGAAACTCAATCTAGTCGCAATCAGGGTATTTTTCTTTATTTTGTGGTTTGGTTTGAACTGCTCTGTCTGAATCTATGCTTCCCTTCCCCATTTACCATCTAGTATTGTTCCCAGAGGTTTTCCTCTGTGATTTAAGTTGTTTTCCTTAATTGCTCCATAACATCTAGCAACCACATCTGCTTTATCAAGTATATCTTTTGTTTTGTAATTAAAAAAATCACTATTTTAAGGTGATGATTTGATGTGTGTGTCCTGGAAGGTCTGTCTGTCTGTATATATATGCCTCCGACTGAAGTCAGCTACTAGAGACAGCAGCTTGTTTTCCTTTTTTTTCCCCCCTTAATTTTTTTAGGGGAAAAGAACTTGGGACACATGTGGGGTGGGTTCCAGTGTTCACCCCTGGTGTTTTAGGGATAAAAATCACTTGATGGTGGCAATGATCCTCCAAAATCTGTGTATTGTGATTCTGCGGGGAAGGGGGGGGGGGAGGTTTTTGTAACCAGTGCCTGTAGAGGCAAGGTTTTTAAGCTGTCTTGCAGGCCCTCACCTTCTACACTCAGAGTGCCAGAGCAGGGAACAGCCCTGAGAAGTGCTACAGAGGGAGAGCTGAGAACAGGGCAGTTATGAAGTGATAATCTGGCTTCTGGCAGCCATAAGTTTACACTCACCTCAGATATACTTTTGGCCATTACAACATCCCATGGCAATGAGTTCCACAGATTAGTTACGGGTTGTGAGAAAAATAGTACCTCCTCTTGTTTACTGTTGGGTCAGCTGCTTATATATGGTAAATAACATAGAATCATAGAGCTGGAAGAGACCTCAGAAGCCCTAGGCAGGACCAATCCCAACTAAATCAACCCAGCCAGGGCTTTGTCAAGCCAAGACTTAAACACTTCTAGGGATGGAGACTCCACTACTTCCCTAGGTAACACATTCCAGTACTTCACCACTCTCCTAGTGAAATAGTTTTTCCTAATATCCTACCTAGACCTCTCCCACTGCAACTTGAGACCATTGTTCTTTGTTCTCCCATCCGTCACTACTGAGAACAGCCTCTCTCCATCCTCTTTGGAACCTCCCTTCAAGAAGTTGAAGGCTGCTCTCAAATCCCCCCTCACTCTTCGCTTCTGAAGACTGAACAGACCCAGCTCCCTCAGCCTCTCCTCGTAAGTCATATGCTCCAGCCCCCTAATCATTTTGGTTGCCCTCGGCTGGACCCTCTCCCATGAGTCCACATCCTTTTTGTAGTGGGGGGGGGCCCAGAACACTTCTCTATTCTCTTTTCTCTCACTATCCTTTGTAAGATCTCTATTGTATCCACCCACCATTGCCTTTTTTCTAGATCTTTTTACTATTCACTTGCATGAAAACCATTCCAAATCTTTAGTCATTTTGGTTGTCTTCTCCAAACCTTTCCCAGTTTCACTATACCTTTTTTGAGATGGAGCAACCAGAACTGGTTACAGTAATCAAGTTGTAGGCACATCATGGAACCCTATAGTGCCGTTATAATATCTTGTCTTATTTTCTATCCCTTCCTTATTTTCTATCTCTATCTGTCCCATTGATACAGCCTGTTTGACTTCACCTGTGCACTGAGTGGAAGTTTTCAGAGAATTATTCAAGCCAATTATGTTTCCCAATGTAATTTACCTTGCACTCGTCAACACAGAATTTCATTTGCCAATTAGCTGTCCAGTTATCCCTCTGGGAGATCCCTCTTCAACTTCTCACAATCTGCTTTGTACTTAACTATCTTGAATAGTTTTATACCATCTGCAAGCTTAATCATGTCACTACTCACTCCATTTTCCAAATAATTAATGAGAATGTTGAACCCCACAGGTCCCAATACAGAATTCTGGGGGATGTCATTGTCCACCTCTCTCCATCGAGAAAACTAAATTTTTAGTCCTACACATTGTTTCCTATCTTCTAACCAGTTACTAACCCATGAGTGTGTAACCACTACCACACAAATTTGAACCTAGGATCTCAAGAACTTAATGGAGGAACCTCTACCACTTGAGCTATAAAGCCAGAAGCGGCTTAGGTTTGGCTGGAGAGCTCACTTGTTCTTATCACATGCTGTCCGTGGTCCAAGGGCCACTACATGGGACAGTGAACCACAGTGGGTTACAAGAGCATCTTCCCTCTTATCCATTGCAACGTAACTTCCTTATAAGACTTTAGAGCAGGACTTTGCCAAAGGCTTGCTGAAAAATCCGCGTATACTGTATCAAGTGAATCAACCATTTCCACATGCTTGTTTACATCCTCAAAGAACTGCAGTAGATTGGTGAAGTATGATTTCTGTTTAGAAAAGCTGTGTTGACTCTTCCTCAATAAGTCACAGATTCTACATGCCTGAAAATTCTGCTCTTTTTCTAAGATTTCAGCTACTCTGCCCTGTAAAAAAGTTATGCTCGCCGGCCTATAATTGCCAAGAGCTCCTGTGGAGCGCTCTAAAAAATGAATGTTGCATTAAATACCTTGCAGTCATCTGGTACAGATGCTGATTCCAGTGACGAGTTACATTCCACAGTGAGTAGTTCTGCAATTTCATATTTGAGTTCCTTCAGAACTCTTGGGTGAATACCATCTGGCCCTGGTGATTTATGTATATAATTTATCAATCTGTTCTCAAGCCTCTTCTACTGGCACATCCCTTTGGCACAGTTCTTCAGATTTTTTGCTCAAAACAATAGTTCTTATGTGGGTATCCTTCACCTCCTCTGCAGGGAAAACCAATCCACAAGGTTTCATTTGTCTTTTCTGCCATGGTACTGTCTTCCTTAGGTGCTCTTTCAAACCTCTTGGTTATCTAGTGGCCCCACCACCACCGTGGTGGGCTTCCTGCTTCAGATGTACTTCAAAAATTCATAGCGTTAAGTTTATTCTTTAGCAAGTCGCTTCTTAAATTCTTTTTTGAGCTGCCTTGTTGTACGTTCACAATTAGCCTGACAGTTTGTGCTCTTTTTTTCCCCCTTCACTAAATTTTGACTTCCAATTTTTTAAGTATGCCTCTAACAGTCCCAATTACTTTCCTGTTTAGTGGAGTTCTTTTTCGTTTTTTATGCTCTTTTATTATTTGACATATACATTTAGTCTGAGCCTCTAGAACAGTGTTCTTAAGTAGTCCCCATGCTGCTTTACAGGCATTTTACCCTTGTGAATGCTCTTTTTAATTTCTGACTCATGTTCCAATTCTTTTTAATCTCTACTTTTTCAAGGTAAATGTTCCCATGATGGTTTTTTGGGTATATTCCCAAACGAGGATGTTAAACTGAATTGCATTAGGGTGACTTCAGGTAACGTTACCTCTTGGACTAGAGGCTATGCTTCACTAAGCACTAAATTTTGGATCCAGGATTACTTACTACAAGAAGCACCACTCTAGAAATTCTCTCTGCATCATGACGGGAGGTGATATTTATCCAGTCAAAATGAAGACAGTTCACATCACTCATTCTTGTGCTACTGCAAAAACATCAGGTAGCATAAGCTAGTGTTCTCAAAAATCTGTGTACATATTCAGTTTCATATAATAGAGGAAAATATTAATGTGAACAATGCAGACTACAAGCATAAAGATCAAAATATATTATGTCAAACAGCAGTCTCACTTCAACTTGCCTTCAAACATTTCAGGAAATACTCAGCAAAATATTTAGTGGTGAAAACGTTCCAAAATGCATTTAATTTCATGTGATGACTGTATTCTAACAAAGAAAAATGATGTAGGGGGACAAATCAATTTTATGTTCCCAATGCAGAATCACAGGGGGGTAACGAGAGTGAAGGAAGCTGAGAGGAAGTGTGAAAAATTCTTGTTTGAATAAATAGCCTCCAATAATCAGCCAAACTTTCAATCAAGTTTTGAAAAACAAGTGGAAAAAAATCAACTGATTTATATTAATACCGGATAGATTTTTTCAATTAAAGTTAATTGTGCACAAATGGAATATAAAACAATCTGCGTGCTTTATATCTGTACTATATATAATTAATTTCCCGTTGATGTCTAACACTAAGTTAAAAGTCTCTCTTCTAACTTAGATATGCATTATTTCATAAGCATGTTTGATTAGCTCTAAACTCCAAAAGCGTATTTTGATGCACTTTAAATATGTAAATGACATAATATAGTGTAATGGCTCCCTTGGAGTCATTAGGATCTATGTAATAAATATAATGCAGTTTCATAATAATTTAAATACATGTTAAGATGAAAAAATGTTGAGTAACCAGTTATAGACCAACAGCTAAATGGATTATTTGCATACAGATCACAATCTTATCTCCTTGACAAAATTAAGGTGTACTGTCTTGGCGGCTTTGGCAGTAGAAAACAGAAAAGAAAATATTTAGAAGATCCACATCCAAATAAAAGTAATATCAAGGAAAACCCAGGAAATTCAGTTTGGAAGTTGAAGTCCCACCCTTAAATCATCTCTTAAATGTCAGTATTTAATTAAGTTAACTATTGCTCAGAGGCACATGAAAAGTCAGAACCACACTAAACTCCAAATTTTCTTGCTTTATGGTCACATGAATCTTATTTGTGCTTATTCTTGTCCAAGATGCTTTGTTTTACTTCTAAATATATTTCCACTATAGATCTACTCTAACTGAAGCACCATCAAGTCAAAGAAGAGTCTCTGGGGTTTATTAAGGAGGGACTCCTTAACATTTCAGCTACCTCCAACTTCTCCAGAATTTCTTTGATGGAAACACTTTTGAGTCTTTCACTGTGTCACATTACAATAGGTCAAGATTTTCCTGTCAATAAAATGGCAACAAGATTATTGTGTGGAAAAACTATACAGAGTAGAAGCTGATTGGAAATGAGACAGTTCGGTTTGTTGGTCCTACCTCTACGTGCCCCATCACTCACTACAAACTACATTTTATTGGTGGATACCTGAAATGTTTCAATGCATTTTATGGGATTTCACAGGGAGACATTTCAATTTCAACATAAAAAGGTATTTCTGCACCAAGCAAAATTGTTAAGACCGTTTTAGTCACTTAATTACTACATCAAATGTTGAATTCTGCAGTGCTGAGTACTTGCATAGGGACATCACTCTGTCCTTCGAACCGCACTCGCTAATCCCATTAGCTTCCGAACGCAGCCTACACACTCCAAGACAATACACAAATTCATTTCTGAGAATTCTCATCTGTGAATGAAATAAATTAAGTTGTTATAACATCATCTCTGGTCCATGTTTTAAAACCTAGTGTTTATATCCTTTGTAGAAGGTTACAGCCCCACAATCCGGCTTAGCTGGTGCTTACACGAGGTAAGTGAAATGAAGTCCTGAATGATCCACAATGCTCTACTTGGCTTCACTCCTTTCTTATCTAGAGGTGAGAAGAAGAGATCTTTAAAGGGAAAGATCTTACTCTGGCCTGCGTTGCCTTTGATTTTACCCACTCCTGAAATGTTAGGGTTTGTGATGGAGAGGAGGAGGGCTGGTCAACATTTGGTGACTAACGGGTTAAACTCAGGTAGCTGGCGGGGAGGAGGAGAGGTGAGGGGAGGGGGGAAAGGGTGCTGGGAGGGAGCCGGGAGAGCCAAAGGGAAAAAGTGTTGAAATGTGAATTGGAAGATATACCTGCCAGCTGTTTTTCTTTGTGGGAGTTTTAAGCCAGGAGTTGGGGGAACAAGATGTATCGAACCAAGCAGAACTTCCATGCCTACAAGTAATACGGTACATGGAAATAAGACTGGACTTTGAAGCACAGATTGTAAGTAGATAAAAAATATCTATTTAGCTGTGATCAGGTTATTTTCTTTGTTTTGTTTGGTTTAACTTCTCTGTGCTAAGCCCATGTGTCTCACCCTTCCTCCATACACGGTATTTTGTAAGCTGGATCCCACAGATACAATTTCTCTGTGTTTTAATTTGCTCTTTTCTCAGTGGCTGTACACTTAGCAACCTAGTATGTTTTACAAGCATAGCTATTCGCAGGGCTCGCCGAATCGCAGTGAGCCCCACTCGCCAGCTGCGCTCTTCCAGGTTACAATCTACTTGCCCGTGGTGAGTAGATTGTATTATTTGTCAAGCACTGGCTATTCGTTTTGTTAATAAAATCTTCTTTTTTAAGGTGATGAGTTGATTCTTGTGTCCTGGAAGGAAAGAGGAGGTCTGTGTATGCATGCATACGACTGAGAGGTCAGCTATCAGAGATTGCAGATGGTTGTCTTTTTTTTCCCCCAAGTGTTCTTGTGGTACCCCTCTGGAAGAGGTTCAAGTGCTTTCTTAATGGGTCCAAGAAGAAAGGGGGTTTTCACTTGATGGTGGCAGCCTCTCTCCCAGACCAGTGAATCCGTGACCTTGGGGAGTTTTTTAAATAGAAGCCTACAGGGGCAAAGTATTTCTAAGGTCTCTTGCGGGCCCCCACTTCCTACACTTAAGAGTGCCAGAGTAGGGAACAGCCTTGACAAGGTTCCATACCGACTCTCATCACTCCAGTAGCTGCATGTATTTTATTGACAAAATTCTGTGACCTGATTAAGACCACAAATCCCATAAAAGATTTCAATGAGAAAGGATGGTCTATACCAGTGGTTTCCAACCTTTTGGGGCTGCCGGGCGCCTGGGGTGGGGCCTCTCACACATCGGGTGTAGGGAACAGCCTTGACAAGGTTCCATACCGACTCTCATCACTCCAGTAGCTGCATGTATTTTATTGACAAAATTCTGTGACCTGATTAAGACCACAAATCCCATAAAAGATTTCAATGAGAAAGGATGGTCTATACCAGTGGTTTCCAACCTTTTGGGGCTGCCGGGCGCCTGGGGTGGGGCCTCTCACACATCGGGTGCCCGGGGGTGGGGGCGCGGCCACGCACGTGCCCGGGGGTGGGGCCACCCATACGCCGCATGCCCAGTGCCAGCACCACCCATGCGCTGCACTCCCAGGGCTGGCGTCGCTCCTGTGCCGCACGCCCAGGGGTGGGGCTACTCATACACCAGGCACCCGGGGCCGGCGCCGCTCCTGTACCACATGCCCAGGAGCGGGGATGCCCATACGCTGCGGGCCCGGAGCCGGCACAGCCCATGAACCCA